TGAAGAACCATGGAAACAAACAAGATCAATTGGACAGCTTGTGCAACCGTTGACGCAAATACACATCCATGGCCAGTGGATGCTTCCCTCTCTGATGCATAGCTTCGTTGGACAGAGTAGCATCAGAGAGCTCTTTCCCCCTGCTGGCTTGACGAGTTGGACACTGTTGCAAAGCCCTTAGAAGCAGGGTGTGACACACACAGATATATATATATATACACACATACATACATGTAAACCCCTTTGCAGCAGGCTGCAATTTTGAGGATAATGATTCGGTGACAACCTCGTCCGAAGGATTTTTCGGCTACCCCGAAGCGGCAGTGACGCCAGGTGGTGCATACTACCGAAAGTGAGCCTTTGGCCCCGCCCGCGCCACGCAAGATCTTGCCGCTGGGTGCACCCATTGTGATGCAAAGGCCAAGTTTTTGTGTTCGGTGTGCTTTGTGGCCCAGGCTGTATATTGGTCAATCGACTTCTCTGGCAAGCCAGACTTTCGAAGTTTTAGACTCCGAATTATGGTCGCAAGGGCTGCCAGGGAAGCGTATGAATCTCCTTTCTCGTGCATTGAAGAGTCCACTGGAGGGTGGAATGCAGGGCCTATCAGGTAAAAAGGATCGCACGCTAAAGCACTCATTGAGGGCCGTGTTTCAACTTCGCAGACTTGGAATCTCGCCACAACTTGTCCTTTTTGTTTTGGGGGGGTTGGACCTCTTTTGCCTTAGTCAGCCGAAACTTAGCTTGCTTTTGACAGGAGACCACGCTCGTGGGACCTGCGAGCCCATTCTGTGACATGTGGAACCTGCAGCCCTGCAGCAGAACTAAGCAGCTAACCACCATCTGCAGATATCTACCAGCTCTGGTAACACCGAGCCATACATCAGCTGCTTGAATATACTCAAGTACTGTATATTTTCCCTCAGCAAGACATGTGTACCGGCAGATCTGATCCTCAAGCACGCCTCAAATTGTCTCTTCGTCTTGCTTACCCCCTATCTTTTGCAAAAAGACATGTTCATTGGGTGAGGCCAAAACAGGGCCGTGGGGAACTCATCTGGGATCCAGCCCTATGAGTGGAAGGAACTGTCTCCGACAGTAGCCTTCCAATGCCATGGAGGAGCCGAAGGCACCCGGACATCGGGAAGAGAGTGCTTGTCCGTCCACCGCTCCGCTTCCTTTTTTTCAAGCACTCGATCTGAACGGCCTCAGGATGCAGTGAAGTGACTTGGATGCTTTCAGGTGATGTGAGTGGTTTGACCTCTGCACACTGCACACACACTGAGTTGTATACATCACAGATGGCCTTACAGGCAGCCGGGATTCCTTGTGCACCTGACTTGGTTGCCTAATGCAAGCAGACCCTCTTGAGAGCTGAACTGGCCAGGATTGCCAATATCGAGTCTTCATTTCTAGCGTGTCTGACCACACCCCAAGGTCAAGTGTTTTTTGACAAGTTTGGGTCATCGGACCACGTGAACTGAGGTCATCTGGGAACTATGGCCGGGTCCAAAGAGTGGTGAAAGAAGCCAGCAAGGGCATTTTTCCAGAGCAGAGTCCTTTAGCTGCGTCTTTTTTTTGGGGGTGCTCCCAACAGTCTCCAACATGTGGCATTCCGTTAGATTTTGACAGTTTTGCTTTGAGCGCATCACACTACAACCTTGTGGGTAACTTTGCCTTCTTACCTCATGGTGTCGATACGCTGTGTTGTGCGAGCCTCTATGCACTTTTTCTGGTCTGTACAGCTTTTTGACCTCTCCAATTTTGTTTTGTACAGGCTTGTATTCTCTCTTTTGCCATTTCCTTTAGCTGAAGTCCTGTGGGTCTTTGCTTCGTGTGGACAAGGGCGGCTCGTCCACTACTCGGACATTCTTGCATCTGATCACTGCATCCCTGCATTCTCCGAAATGGTGTTATGCGGATGGCACGTTCGCCAAGTGTTTGTGTACTACAGGGTACCCTTTAAGCATCTCCCGGGAGCCCTGACGCGAGATGTATTTTGACTAGCATTCGAGGGGTATACGATGCTCTTTTGAATAGCATTCGCTTAGGCTCATGACGTCTGTACAGGCTCTTTCATTTTGCGAATGTGTGGAGTGTTGGCGCCGCATGCCCCAATGCTTCTTCCAGCCCCCACTACTTTTGGGCCCCGGTGATCTTCACTTCAAATCAACACCCAATCGCGAAAGGCACACAGGATGCACTGGAGAGAGTGGAGTTCCTGGAACAGGCGCACGAATTTGAATTGTAAAACAAGGCTTTACAAGGGCTCAAAGGGAAGTTTAAGTGGAACTTTTTTGGACAAGAAAGACAAGAGAGTTGCTTTGTAGCAGGGAAAACTCAGCTCAATGATTTGAAAGACTCAACTAGATACACAAGTCATGTATATCACGTGGATGCTTCACACTTCGCATGGTATATCATTGAGAGGTTTCGATGGTGCTCGAAGACTCGAAACGTTACTAGCGATGCACTTGTTCCTAATAGCTTCTTGTTACTACTAGTAAGGCACCTGTTACTACTAGCGATGCACTTGTTACTGACGTTCGCAGAAACCATCCATTTGAGAAACCGTCCATTTGCTCGCAGCGGAGTCGAGTCGAGTCGAATACGTCCATCGAGGTCCCTTCGCCCGTGCGTTGGGGGGGGCATTCCTCGTCGAGGTCCCTCCGCCTCCGATCCGGTCGCTCGCGTCCAGGACGAGGTCACCGAGAGGGTCACGGAGGACGAGGTCACCCAGCCAAGGGGTCACCCAGAACATCCGGAGGGACCCCGTTCGTAGCGTCCGATCGCTCCGTTCGTAGCGATGCCAGGAGCCCCGTTCGTAGCGTCCTTGTTCCTAGTAGTGAGGCCAGGAGCCCCGTTCGTAACTTCTTGCCACTAAATGTGGGGATGTCAGCCACTTGAAAAAGTGGCCACCAGCTTTGAGAGTGGCCAGCTCATCGTTGCTTCACATGGTTCAGAACGTCGATTTCTCCGCCGTGGGCGAAAAGCTTTCCTTTGCCATGGCAAGGAGGTTCGACATGGGCTGCCTTTGCCAAGGGCTCCGAAGGTGTTGGGACACCAAGGCTTTGCAGAAAGTGGTCTTGAGTTGCGAAAATAGCAGAACTGCCCTCTCTTGAATAGGTGACGTCCTTGAGTTTTGGCCACGTGTGAATTCATAGGTGGTTTGGTGACTCACTCCAGACCACCAAGCCTTCATGGAGGTTCACCGCCCCACATCCGATGAATGTGCTAAGGCCTAGCTTGGATGAGCTCTCCAATGACCTCGATGTGCCCAGTGAGCTTCCAGCCTCCGTCGAAGGGCCCAGCTTTCACGAGTTTGGAGACAGATTTTCTGGGCCAACAGAGAACAATGATCCGATCACCCACACCACTTTGGCCATGTAAGGATGGTGTTGTGGCCCCTCCCGTGACTGACCGCGACGCGTGGGCTGCGTGGTCGATGCAGAGCTAGCTCAGCTCCTGAAACAGGCACCTTCAGCTCTGATCCAGCCACGCGTGCTCTTCTCCGCTCACGAGGACACATGTCTCCGCTGGTTCTTCGGAAAAGGAAGAACGAAGGCTTGTAGGGCCTGTGGGGTCTCTACCATGAAGCCTCGCTCGTTCTCCTTCAGCAGCTTTCGGAGCAACATGCAAGATGTTTGCAGACCATCCACAAATCGATTTCCATCCTCCAAGGGTAGACCACATCTGCTGCCCACTTCTTGTGCGAGGACAAGTCTCATGCCATCTCTGGTGAGACTTCCCTGGAGACCATCAGGACGGGCACTGAGCTTGACAGAGTTGAGATCGATCACAGTCTGCACCAGCGAGAAGAATCCATAAATTCTCCCTACAACATCCTACAACAAGTAACTCGGATGGAATTTTGGATGCGAAGAGACAGGAGCTGATCAAATCGATTATGCATCCATCCATCCATCCATCCATCCATCCATCCATCCTTCCTTCCTTCCTTCCTTCCTTCCTTCCTTCCTTCCTTGCGTCCCCAGGAGGCTGGTGGACACCCGCAGGGTGGAGACTGCTCTACAGCAGCTCTCCCAGCACTCCTATGGCGTTGAGGCGGAGCAGCTGGACTCTGATGGATATTTGCCGAACCTTATTGTGTCAGCTGCAGAACTAGCCCAAATCATCGCAAAGTGAGACTGGTGGTCCCAGACCAGTGACGCTTCTTGTTTCAGACCCAAAGACTTCCAAGAAACACAGAGAACAGTCTTGACTTGGGTGTATTTCTCTCTTTGCTGAGATTGATTGCTCAGTGCGGGTCAGAAGTGAGTGAGTAAGGAAGCTTGGAAACAGCTTTGTGCTCCCAGGGCTCTCTGCTGCGACTGCGGTGCTTGATCCAATTGCGGCGCTTTGATGATGCAGCAGAGGAGTTGCGACAAACCACATGAGCCAGGGGACTCATTGGCATGTGGTCCTTCCATAGTTCTCCAGACAGAAGTTGATAGATGAGACCCATCTTGCTCCTGACCTCTCGCCCTGCTCCACATCAGTGTTAAAGTTTGTTCCATGTGTATCCATGTGTTGCTCAGCTGTCTTGAACGTCAAAATCTTCCCCCCAAAAATGGTAAAATGGGGGTTCTGGGTAAACTCTACGTTCACGAGATAACCATCCCTAGCAGTATCTACCCCGTTCAGGCGGGTTTGAATAACATAATGTATTTCAGACTTACTAACTTCACATCAACAAGGGATGTCAAGGTTTCCATACCTTCCTCTTCTTATGTCGGTGCTACTCTGGCGACGGCTCTACACATTCTCACCGACGGGTTCTTAGCAAATAATGATTGCTTCACCATAACCTACGACTACGACGCTAACAACATCTATATCAATTTGAATTATGTTGAATTTTCCTTCAGGGTCTTAACCGACTATGCGATGTATTACAATGTTATTCTTTGGGAAGGTGATACGTATGATAAGGAAAACTTGATGTCCTTAAATCAGGTCTTGGGAAACTACACGCCAGCGTTGAATAGTTATTCTTGGACGAGTGGATACATAACCCTCCTCGCTTTGAGAAATGTTTATTTGGTTTGTAGTGAGTTATCCGATGCCAGACAGTTGGGTTCAACTGGGGCGTATGCCATCATCAAACAAGTTCCTATCAATGCTCCCTTTGGTTCGGTCATCTATGACAACGAAATCATCGGGGCGGACTACATCAATGTAAGTAATCGTGTATTGAGAACCCTTCATTTCAAACTTGTAAATTCCTATGGCAATGTCGTTGATTTGAACAATGTAGATGTTTCCTTCAGTCTGACCTTCGTTGAAGAGTACGAGATTGATATATAATATTTTTTGGTAAACATATTATTATATAATCACTTCTGTTGCTTCAGTTTTGGATAGAGTTTGCTTTTATACAGTTTATACATTTGTCTCATTTCTTTCAACCGTTCCGCTTTATCCTCCTTCTTGGCGGACTTCCATTGTTTGAATAGGTCTTGGTAATCCCTGTAGGTCATTAGGTCAATGAGATTTTTGTTGTGTCCGTCTTCAAACGCTTCCCTCATCACCTGTACCCTCATCACCTGTATCCCCGCTTGTGGGTGCGACCGCTTTGTAGATGGTCTTTGTCACTCCCTTCGTTTCTGTTTGTCCTTCCTCTTGTGGTGGTTGTTCTGGCGCTGGTGCTGATGAAGATGATGCTGACGCTGATGCCTTTGCCTTTGCCTTTGGTCTTGTTCTTGGCGGTTGTTCTCCTTCAACGTTAAGTATCTCCATCCTTTTTGGTGTTGGGTTTTTACGGTGCTTCTTCGTATTCTTTGATGATGGGTCTGTTTCCTCTCTCTTCTGACTTCCGGCTCTTGGGTCGCGAGAGCCTCGCGAGGCTTCTGCCGAAGTGTCCATATGTTCTACTTCTTCCTCTTCTGGTGGTGATTTACTCGTTATTTTTCTCTTGGGTCTTGGTGTGAGTTTTGCCGTTAGACCTGTTGGGTTTGGTCTCTGTGGTTTTAATGGGTATCTTTTCGTTCCCTTTGCTTTTGGTTTGGGTTTGTGCTCTACATCTGGAAGTAATGCCTCTGCGACGTTCTTTGCCACCGTTGAACCTAATGATTTTGCTAAAGACGTTTTTTCATTGCCCATTTCCCCTGATGTGTCTAATAGTCTGTCCGCTATGAGACCGCCTACTACCCCTCCTTGTGATGTTGCTACTGCCTTGACCGCTTCCTTCAGTAGTTTCTTTCCTGCGGGTTTGACTTTATCCATCACGGATTGGACGACGCTTTGCTTCACCTCCTCTTCCTGAACACCTGCGCTGGAGGATGAACCCGCAATATACATTATGGTTTTATTCATAGCGTGGAAGTCTGCCCTATGACTTAAACTGACCTGTTCCGCTATTTTCCTGTCTTCCTCTTCTCTCATCTCCGCTTCCTTCTCAAAACTCTTTTCATAAAGTTCTATGGCGTCGTCTCTCAATTCCTCCATTTCATCATCATCCACGGGATGAAAGACTGTGTCTTCTGTGATGGTCGCCTCCTGTGCCATCCGCTTGAAGTTCTGCTGTTGAAGGTCTGCTGGGTGAATGTTGCTGTTCTCGTTGGGCGCTGTGTTGAGCGGACTGTCGTGAAAATACCAAGCGTTCCTGTCAAAGACTTTCCTTATTTCATTGGTCTTTATTTTTTCTTTGTCTAGTTCCTTGATTAACTCCACATAAGTGGGAACTCTTGTCAATCCTTGTTTCGCGTTTATCACTGTTGTAGCCATAGTAGTATATATGAATATATTCCCCGTCTGAAAGGTGGAATGCACTTTTGGAAACTCAGAAAATGGCATTAGGGGTGAACAGTTCAGGGGCACTGCCAAACTTGGCATGCCCTTTTTTACCCTCGGAGATAATCGGGAGAACAGCCACAAAACACTGATATTTACAGTGAATTTGCAGCGAAAAGTTCCTGGGTTTGCAGTAAAAAACGATGTTTTCAACATGGTTGATCTGTTTTCACATGGTTGGGGAACCCCCCCTAGCCATGCATGGCCACATGAACTTGGAATGCTGTTTTTTGGCGCCAATGGATCAAGGTGAGCTAAGGGGAGCTTGCCAAGAGTTGGAACGTCTACTAATTTATATACCACGTGATGCCACGTGCAGTCACATCGCAATGCAAGTATATACATAATATCATTTATATATATATAGTCATTTTCTTTTTTTATACAAGGGGCTGCCGGACTGCAAGGCCATCAGAACTTCTGAACATCACTGAACATGTGCTTGTAGTTAGTTTCCTTTGGTTAGCAAAGCTTTCAAAGCCATGGATCACGGAATTCAGCTACTCGCAGACGCGCTTGTGAGAGAGGGACCGCCACCGCTGCCACCCCCTTCTGAAGACCCACGTAATGAGGAAAGCCTCTCTGATGAGGACCCCACGCAATCAAAGCTGCGTGGCCGAAACAGTGGGTGGGTCAAGCGCGCGTTATGTTAATCACCATCTGGTATATAATCACCTTTATTAGGAGATGTGGTCTCCAATATACTGTACCTCCAATCTCAAACCTTGTTTTTCTTGTTGAGTTTGAACAGCCCTTTATATATATATATATCTATATAAAAGGCAGTACGGTAGAAACTAAACTGGCTGACAATTGCTATTTGTCTATATGATTTTGGAACTGTTCTTTAAACACTGACTGCCTTACTGCAGCTCAGGACCTCTGCTGCTTCCTCTGCGGGCGTGGAGAAGAAGGGTGATGGTGGAGAGAAGCGAGTTTGCACTAGACCTGTAGGCAGTCATTCATATCAAGAAGAGGCATTCTAAGTTGTTTTGTCCAGGGGTGAAGTTGTAGCCCCTCACAGTGCCCAATGTCCTGTATCTATCTATCTATCTATCCATCCATCCATCCATCCATCTATCTATCTATCTATCTATCAATCTAGCGTCCTTACCGCAGCTCCGGACCTCTTCTGCTTCTTTTTGCAGATGTTATGGAGAAGAATGGTGGTGTTGGAGAGAAGCCGGTTTGCACTAGACCTTCAGACAGTCTCTCTTTAAAAGCATTCCAAGTTGTATTGCCCCGGCATGAGGTCCTACTGGTACCTCA